CATGAACTGAAGTTTTAGTTGCCTGTTGGGATTTGGGAGCCCCTCCAGTCATACTGATTACTTATTTATAACATCTTCTTTCGGGATGGGTTATATCCTCTGATGGCTGATCTCTTAATGTTGTGTTAAATTTCCTGTCGATTTCAGCAAGTTATATTTTCTGACCTTGTCCCCAAATTCGGGAGGTGCACTGTATTTTGAACCTGTGATTTCCTTTAGGACATGTGAGATATTTTGAAAATCTTGTAGATAATTTTAAAAGTGCAAGGCAATAAAGGAACCAGGATTACTCATTCACAATTTTAATCTAATGGGAACTGGTTTTCCCCAGTGAGGACCTGCTGTGTGTGCAACCTCGTGGTAGGTGCTTGAAGAATACAAAAGAAGTTTCAGTTACTGTCCTGCAGTCAAGAAGCAGTCATTTTACTGGGGTAGAGCTAATTGCTATAGTAACGCCTGACGTTTCTCCACATTTCAGGAACACTAGCACGGCTTCACCTACTTCATCTGCAATTCTCACAACAGCCATGCAACATTTTTCATGCTCCTTATTCGGATAAAGAAAGTGAGGCTCATTTGGTTAAGTGACTTGCCTAAGCTCCCACAGCTGCGAAATTCCGGAGGCAAATCATTTTTTCTTAATAATTTCTTAATAATAATTGAGACATAGGTCTCCCTTTATTTTCAGGTGGTGAAGATTCTAGAATTAGTAGGAAATACTGATTCTATCTGAATCTCTAAACTATGAGGGAAGCTATACAAAAACCTTGATAGTTTTTGTTCCCTTTCTGATCTTGTTCCATAATTTATGTTGGTTGTTTTCAGTATTCTGCTATTAGGAATAATGCTGTCACAAATATAATTTCTCCTTTTATTTTTAGTTGATAGAACTGTACATACTTATGGGATGCAGAGTGATATTTTGATACATGTATGCAATGTGTAATGATTAAATCAGAGTAGTTAGAATATCTGTCACCCCTAACATAGAATTTCTTTGTGTTGTAAACATTCACAATCCTCTCTTCTTTTTGGAAACATACAATAATATTAATCCTATTCACCCTGCAGTTCTGCAGAACACTAGAAGGTATTCCTCCCATCTAGCTTAACTTTGGATCCGTTAACCAACCTCTCCCCATCCTCCCCTCCCCACATTTTCCCCAGCCCCTAATAATCACAATTCTATGCTTTACTTCCATAAGCTCAAATATTCTTTAGTTTCCACATACGAGTGAGAACATGTGGTGTTTGTCTTTCTGCGTCTGGCCTATTTCACATAACATGATGTGTTCATCCATCATGTTATGAGCTCCAGGCTCATCCATGTTGCTATGAATAATAGGATATCATTCCTTTTATGGCTGAATATGATTCCAGTGCATATATATAACATCCATTCCTCTCTTGATGGACATTTAGGTTGATTCAACAAATAATCTAATTAAAAACTGGGCAAAGCATCTAAATAGACACTTGACAAAAGATGACATAGAAATGGACAATAGGTGTATGAAAAAAATGCTTAACATCACTAATCGTCGAGGAATGCAAGTCAGAATCACAATGAGATATTATCTCACCCCAGTTAGAATGGCTATTATAAAAAAGACAAAAAAATAAAGGCTGGAAAGAATGCAGTGAAAGGGAACTCTCAGGTATTGCTGGGGGGAATGTAAATTGATATAGCGACTATGCAAAGCAGAATGGAGGTCCCTCAAAAACGAAAAATGGAACTGGCACATGACCTAGCAATCCCATTCCTGGGTATGCATCCAAAGGAAAAGAAATCAGTATATCAAGGGAATACCTGCACCCTCATGTTTATTGCAGGACTATTCACAATAACTAAGGATTCAGATCTTATTCTGTCCGACTTGGAAGCTCCAAGCTCTTCTACTCCCCTACTATGCCTACAAGAACCTCTACCCACAAGCAGGGCTGAATGGATGTCAGAGTGGCCTAGGGGACAAGGGAAATTTTTTTTAAAGTCAATACATGTTAACCTTCAGGTTTAGATTCCTGGGCGATGCATTCGGTGATGGTTGTGCTCCCTAGCTTTCAAGGACTTATTTTTTTCTTTCGAGACACGGCCAGTCACACCAGCTAATATTTCACATTGGTGGGTATCTTTTCCTTTTTATGAGAAGGTAACAATATTGCATAGCATGAAAGGAGCATGACTAGATCCACAAAACTGCATTCCTGCTTTTGTTTTCATTTAAAACGAGTTCCTGTTGAGGATAGTGGAGATGCGTGCTTTGCTGGAGGAAGTTAACAACCCCATCCTGGGAAACGATTTTGCATTGCTTAGTGTAAGATTAGGCTGCAATTGATAGAGCCTCTAAAATCACCGTGGATAAACAAGGTAAAATTCTATCTTTCACATAAAAATCTACAGGCAGCCCAGGGCTGCTATGATACTCCCTAGAGCCAGACTCAGTTTCTTTCTTGACACTTCGCTGTTTCTGGCCCGGACTTTAACCTTAAGGTCTAAAATGTCTGTGTCCATCTTCCAGGCAGCAGATTAAGGGATGGAAGAAAACGAAGGGGCAAAAAGCACCTACTTGCTGTTTTTGAAGAAGGTTACCAGATACTTCCACCGCATGACATTGGCCAGAAGTATTGTTTATGGAAACATCTAATCGCGAGGGAGATGTGGTCTTAATGCTGGACGGCCATGTGCTTTGTTAAAAATGAAGAACATGAGAGCGGCTGTCAGGGGACAGCTAGCAGTCTGCCACCAAGGTCTTGGAATTTGACCCTTGCCCTCCCAACCCTACCTCAAACTTTGAACATCTGCACCCACTTAATGGATATTTGTTACATACTTGAGCAACCAACCCTAAAGGAAGTTAAAACTGCATTCATCACAATTTGAAAATAAAGACAAAGGGTAATATGTTAACATTCATAATAGTCATGATCTCCTCTTAGCGAGAGGGATGATGCTGTTTGCCATCTTTCACCAGAAACATCATTTCTGGGGCCATGACGGAGAGCTGGGCTTGCAGGTCAGCTTCACAGATGGTTTCTTTTCTTTCCCCTTATTTTCACTTAATTGGAAAAGCTTAAATTACAGTTAGAAGTAGCAGCAAGTGATTGATGATTCTGTCCAGTAGTCCTGCATAACCAAAGATAAAACTGGGGAGATTGCTCACTGAAGGCCACTTTCGGTATTTTGTCAGAACAATGTCACACTTGGGATTGGGAAGGTTTCATCTTAGGGCTACCACGTAGGTTCCTTATCGACCCTTGGATTTGATTTTAGCCTAAACGCATGACTTTGTGTTGTGTTACAGTCCCTGGGTGTGTTTCTTAATTATCCCGAGTGACTGTGTCATGTCTGAAAACTATTTTTATTGCACTATCTGTGTAACTTTGGGCAAATCATTTACATGTTCCCTGCCTTGGTTTCCTCAACTGTAGAATAGAGATAGTGGTGGTAGTACTGGCCTTACAGCATAGTTGCAAATATTGTGTGGGCTAACGCACGTGATCACCTAACTCAGTTCTGGCACATAATACACACTCAATAAATATGCATTGTGGTGATTGTTGTTTTCAGTATTTTCAAACTCGAGACTATCCAAGCCTTTTGTACCATAGTCCAATCTCCTTGTGAAATCTTGGTTTATTCTTCATTTTTCTGCCTTGTAAGTAATGAGCCTTCTTTCTCAAAGTGAGGTTTGGTTCTGGACGTTTGAATTACTGAACATGTTTTGGAGCTGCCATTGAAAAATAATAGAGATAGTTTTCACTTGCATTAATGAGTGCCATAAAATATCTTTTTATTTTGTTCATCATTTCAAAAACACATGTGAGCACCTCCATAGACAGTGTTCTTTAGTGGGAGAAGTAGTCTTCTATTTGCCATCTATCTCTCTGCCAGGCAAACTGAAAATGCAGACAGTCAGAGTCTGTGAGTTGAAGATTTTCTATATAGTCTTCAACACTAAACCAAGATCAGAGGGCGTACTTAATGAAGGATTGTGCTATCAGCTTGTTCTTTCTGTCTGAACACAGTGAAGGAGTTTAAACACAACACTTGTGCTTAATTTTGCAGGTAGTTTTAGAAACTTCTCACCAATAATGAGACTTGCCAGTTTTTCCTACTTAGTTTTGGTCCTCTTTAGGTTTTTAGTGACAAAATTAATTAAATTCATGTCAGAAAATAAAGAGTTTTTCCCCTGTGTGTGCTTGTTCTGAAAAAAAAGTGAGTGTTTATTTGAAGATGAGGTGCCTTCCTCTCATAATCTGACACCTATTTGTAACAGACATGGTGACAAGGCCAGATGAATTGCTGGGTCAATAAAACCTGACTTTCAAATACTCATCACTGCATTTTCTGTCCTTATTTTTCATTTTTTGAGAGAAATCAGCACACAACACAATCACTTATTCTGAGACACAGATTCATGTCCTGTATTCATATAGGAGCCCTGTTTATGATATTATTTTGCATTGTACCATTGTCATTATGATTTACAGTATTACTTCTAGGCTCTAGTAGATCACTTTTGTGGTTTGGGGCTATAACAGCATGATAGTAGAACAAAAATACAGACTTGAACAGTAAACACTAAAAATGTGTGAATGGAGTCAAGTTGCGGGCTATTCACTAAATGTGAGCAGAGGAAAACCAACCTCGTGTTACTAAGAGTGTAACGAGATTTCCGCGAAAATCATGATTGCTTATATTTCAAATCTGTGACCAAAATTGTTTTAACTTGTTCTTTTTTTTTCCTCTGAAGCTACCAAACTTCCAGGGGCCACACTTTGGGTAACACTATCCTACTGTTTTCGATGAGAGCGTTTTTGGAATAGGCTGATGAATGGGGTACAGGTGGGAAGGGACTGGTCCCCGGTGAATTTTAAAGAGAACGAAAATGAGGCACTGAAGAACGGGTTGGGCTTCTTGTGTGGAACAGTTGGAGAACCAGGAATTTAAGCTATGTACTTACAAGTGTTTCCATTTGTTCTTCCTTTGTACCTTGCAGAGTAAAAGCCAGGGATCCGTCTTTGTCCGGATACACGCCCCGTGGCAGGTGCTGGCCAGAGAGGCAGAATTCTTGAAGATCAAAGTTCCTACCAAGAAAGTATGAGCATGTTTCTCCTGGGTTGTGGGCCTCCTGAGGGCCGGATGGATGCAGATAGTTTGGGAATAGGGCCAGGTGGGATGTGGGTTTTGTGGAATTGAAATCACACTTGCCTCCCCAGCGACCCACGATGTGGGGGGGGAACGGGGAAGAGTTGGGGTGGGGAGAGAGATCCTCCCACCTTAGAGCACTGGCTGGGTTTGCTCCACAAGAAGCAACACATGGTCCCTGTCCGTGTTCTTCATTTTTCTGTTTCACCTCCTTTCTCTCTTTTCTCAGGGTCCTAGTACAGTCAGACACTTCTTTAGTGAACAGAGTAATGAGAGAAGGCCGCAAGCTATGCTGACTGCATCAGCAGCGTGCAGGGGAAACAGCACCAAATTTGCTGTGGAGATTCTGGTTATGATTCCGCCACTAAATATTGTGTGGTGGTGGGTTTCACTTATCTCTTCTGTAAATCAGAAGGTTCTTAATCAGGTGAATTGATTAACATCACCTGGTAAGTGTTTTCACAGTGTTCATGCCAGCGTCCCATCTCTGGGAATTTGACCTACTTGGTTGGTATGGAATGAAGTTCTCATCGGTGTTAGGCAAAAAATCCGCAGGAGGTTCTGATGCACATCTGGGTTGACAGCCACACAGTTTAGATGATGTTTGAGGTAGTTTTTTGTTAAATCCAGGATAGCCTATACATAATTTAAAAATCTACCCAGAGGCCAGGCACAGTGGCTGACACCTGTAATCCCAGCACTTTGTTGGGGGAGAAGTGGAAGGATCTCTTGAGGTCAGAAGTTTGAGACCAGCCTGGGCAACATAGCAATTTTAGAGGAAAGGAGTGGCTATTGACCTTGACCATCTGTGATGCCTCTTCGGGAAGGTCCTGTGGCAGATGGTACTCTACTTTAACCATGGGTGAACTGTGGGTGGTCTCTCTTTCTTTCCCTCCACCCCCTCTTCTCTCTCTCATATACACCACACACACACACACACACACCTCTCCATAGTGTAGTTGTGTAAGTGGTGACTTACCACGGCAAAGATCATCTTGCTCATTGTAACTACCATCATGATAGTTTTCATGCTCCCCACTGTGAACAGAATTCCCTATTTGTTGCCTTCTGTACCACCACTGTGATCACCTGCCCCCTCGTCACCATGCCCACTCTCAGTGCCATCATTATAGTCAGCAACACCATTCTGATTTACATTGTGGGCTAACACCATTTTCACCACCAACAGATCTGCTATCTCCATCAAAAATCACTCATCAAATATCAGCATGTGACTGATACCATCATGAGTCCCCTGCTTGAGAAGAATAAAGTCTGTGGATTCTGTTCTTATAGATTTATTACAATGGACAATAACTCCACAGCAGGTGGACAAATGCTTATTAAACAATGAACAAACACAAACATGAATATTGGCTACAAACATTTTGCCAACGAAAGGTGATTTTTGGTGGTGGGAGCGCTGGTCACATGCCTGAAGTGTCTTAGTTTCACAAGGACCACGCTGTGTCTTTTCCTTTCAGTTGCACTGCTGTGTTTTTTGTCTCCTGGTTTCAGTCCTCTCAGTCTTAATATCACCGCCCTCAAATGCGGGCACCATCTTTGTTTTGGATCTCCGTTCCTCCTTAACTAATGTTCTCTGGATTTCCTGGCAACGTGACACTAGTTTCAGCTTTGGGTGGAGGCTTCTGCTTCCTGCTGGTGGGGTCCTGTTTTGGCCAACCCTGTCACTCCTCTTTCTTCTGTCTTCCTTCTAACTCCAGTATATTCTTCTCCTTTCTGTCTGGTTTATCTGAATAATGTTTTCTTAACCTCATTCTATTTGTGTCTTGTTTCCTATGTTTTAATCTCTGCTGCTGATCCTTGGAAAGGAGGTGAGCAAAACTCTAATGCCCATGTTATGATTTCTATCCCCCAGGGTAATTCTTTTAGGGGAAACCTAGAGACATAGGAAAAGTGTGTCGTTTTTCAACCTCCCCTCGCTTATTTTCCTTCTTTGCTTTCCTTCCCATCCTTCTACTCTCATGCTTTTCCTTCTCTTCTCTCTTCCTTCCACCCCCTCTTCTGATGCCTCCTCCTAGTCTCCCTCTCTGTTCTTTGCACATGCTATGACACCTCCACATCTCTCCCTCTTTTTTTTTTTTTTTTTGAGATGGAGTCTTGCTCTGTTGCCCAGGCTGGAGTGCAGTGGTGTGATCTCAGCTCACTGCAATCTCCGTCCCCCAGGTTCAAGCAATTCTCCTGCCTCAAGCTCCCGAGCAGCTGGGATTACAGATGAGCGTCACCACGCCCAGCTAATTTTTGTATTTTTAGTAGAGACAGGATTTCTCTGTGTTGGCCAGGCTGGTCTCCAATTTCTGACCCCATGATCCGCCTGCCTTGGCCTCCCAAAGTGCTGGGATTACAGGTGTGAGCGACCATGCCAGGCCAGACACCTCCACGTCTCTTGTCTTTCTACCACCTTCACCTGCTCAGTCCTAGACTTGGCTTCCCCAGTAGTGCTCGCCTTTCGTCCCTCTGGTATCTCCTTTATCCTTTCACATGCTTATGCTTTTTAGAGCATAGTTTTGCATAAATGTCATATTGGCCTTCAGAGTTTCAGTGCCCCTATACATGAGCTGTTTGGAACTTACATCTGTAGTTTAGGTAGTACCTGCACTTGAAGTTGTAGATGAGTTGGCGAGGGTGAGAACATACTCACCCATAAAACAGCCATCTCTGGGTTTCTCTCCCCGCTTTCCATTTTGGTAGACACGGCGTTAGTTGAGTCCTCAGAAGGAGAGACTTTCTAACCTTGGTTCCGCAGGTATTCATCGGGTGATTTGGGGAGCTCATCCCATCTCTCAGAGCCTCAGTTGCTTCATCTATGATATGGGCATACTCATACCTGTCCTATTTTTCTTAGAAGGTTGTTGTAAGGATCTGATTCTTAACCAGTGCTGTGTAAACACAGGAGGTTGTTGTGTCTGCTTTCTGAAATATTTTAATGTGTATTCTCAATTGTTAGTCCCCCAATCAACTTCCTTTCTGACCAAAGAAGCAGCCAGCACTGATAGTGCTCCCTCTGTGAGAAAGTCCCTGGAGAGGCACTGAGGGAGCAGAAGCAACCCATGCCCTCAAGGTGCCGACAGTCACAGGGCAGCATGGGAGGAGTGCAGGTGCCCAGACATCAACACAGTGATGGGATACTGTGTCAAGTAGTAACTCATTAGCCCAGCACCAATTCTGTTTGTCAATGTGGTGGGTTAGGGAGTAGGGAGAGGCAAAGCCATGTGGTTGCCCCTCCAAGGCTGCAGATAAAACAGAACTTTTTCCCAAAGTTTCTGGATCCCAGACTCGACTCAGGTGGACTGTTTTGGCTTCCTTTTGCCACATTTCTTTTTTCTTTTTTCCCTCCCCTCCCCTCCCCTGCCCTCCCCTGCCCTTCTCTCTTCTCTCTCCTTCCTTCCTTTTCTTTCTTTCTTCCTTCCTTTTCTTTCTTTTCTTTCCTTCCTTCCTTCCTTTTCTTTCTTTTCCTTCCTTTCCTTTCCTTCCCTTTCCCTTTCCCTTTCCCTTTTCTTTCTTGATGGAGTCTCCCTCTGTCACCCAGGCTGGAGTGCAGTGGTGCAATCTCAGCTCACTGCAACCTCTGCCTCCTGGGCTGAAGGAATTCTCTTGCCTCAGCTTCCCTAGTAGCTGGGACTATAGGCACGCACCACCATGCCTGGCTATATTTTGTATTTTTAGTAGAGACAGGGTTTCAACATGTTGGCCAGGCTGGTCTTGAACTCCTGACCTCAAGTGATCCATCTGCCTCGGCCTCCCAAAGTACTGGGATTACAGGCATGAGCCACTGCACCCGGCCCTAGATCTTCTTTGTATCATAGAAGTCAATGGCTTGTAGTGGAGCTGACAGAGGGTGTTATACACAGGTGAGGGGGGATATAACTTGATATGCTGGGTAGGATGCTATGTTTGTAAAAATTAATCTGAGGCTCTGATCCCAGGGGTGGGGATCTGGGTTAAACCCAGTTCCTGAGTTGAGAGAGGAGCGTAGAAAATGGAGGACGAGACTCGCTGTCTGTGGAGGGCTAGTGTTGGGGCTAGCGGCATGCTGTCTTTTTAAAATGGGTTTGGGAAGTGATCAAAATGAGAAAAAAACCACATTTGCTGAGAGCCACATCCTGGCGGCGAGGGAAGCGTGGAGGAAGAATGAGGCATGATGTGGGATCAGTTAAGCATTCTCCAGGCAGTGGAAGGTTGGATCATAACTCAGTGGGGTCCAGAGAGACCGGGAAGATGGGGAGGAAATCACAAAATCGAGATCTCAAACCTGGACAAATCCATTGTAATGTGTCCAGGGACTCCAAGTCCTGAACACAGATACTAACGGGGAGGGGGAATCTTGGAAGGAAGCATTTGTTTTCCAAAAACAACAACAGAAGAGCCAGCATTTTGCGAGGGACACTCAAGATCCATGCACAGAAGGGTGTGGGAAGGCCTGGCCTTTGGCCCCGAGCAGCCTGAGAAGGTTTGAAATGGGGGTATGGAAGCAGGTGCTTTCTCACCTCTGCTCGTTACCAAGATGGCTCTTCTAGAGATTGTGGTCAACATCTCTGTTGATATCTCATTTGCTTTTTTTGTATATATGAATGAACACTCTGTTTCTCATCCTTTACATTGTCTTATTCCTCAAGCCTCCAGCAGAGACAAGGTCGGTGCAAGCTGTTAGGGACGGCTTTCTTTTCAATGAAATCATATTAATGCAGCCCTAGTTCACTAAATTTGGAAGAAGTGGCATGCCTGGGATGGGTGAAAAACCACTTTTGTCCAATCGTCAGAGCTTTTGTAGCTATTATTAGTAGAGTGACTGATATTGCAGGGGTCTCATTTGCTGTCCCTCAGAGCATGCCAGAACTTTAGCTTATGTGTCCTTTGCATGCAAGTAGATGCTGTTAACTTCCAGCAAGTCATGCCTTTTTAGGCAAACAGGCTCAGAGCTCCATACAT